CAGCATCACCAGCAGCAGCAGCAGCAGCATCACCAGCAGCAGCAGCATCACCAGCAGCAGCAGCAGCAGCAGCAGCAGCAGCAGCAGGCAGGGAGAGCGATGCCCGTTGGTGATGCAGCTGCGGCATATGCGTTGGCAGTATAACGCCTTGCGTGTGACAGCAGCAATCAATAGCGACCGCCTGAGCTTTGCATAAATTTCCGGCTAACAGACGCTTCGGCGGTATCTCTCTTATGGCAGTGGCTTCGCAAATCCCTTTCAGGCGGGAGGGACGCCAAAACCTTCTCCCTCGCCGCGCGATAGTGGTGATTGATCGGTGCACTCTTTCACGATGCCAGGGGGGGTTTCTTTCTGTTATCAGAGGGAGTTAATTTTGTTATGGTAGGGCCCGTAGGGGGGCACCTTTTTTTGCAGCAGGGGATTCCCTATAATTTCTTTCACGCTAGCATGGGGTTCTTTCTGTTATAGCAGGGGGGTTCCTTCTGTTATAGCAGGGGGGTTCCTTCTGTTATAGAAGGGAGGATTTTGGTATAGTAGAGGTCTCCTTTTGGTAGCAGGGGTTTGCTTATACTCTCTTTCACGCTAGCACGGTTTCTTTCTGTTAATGTTATAGCACGGGGGTCTCCTTTTTACAGCAGAAGTTTCCCTATACATTCTTTCACGCTAGCATGAGGTTCTTTCTGTTATAGCAAGGGTTTCTTTGTTATAGAAAGGATTCTGCCTGTTACAAAATGGGGGTCCTTTTGTTATAGCATGGGTTTCCCCAGAGATTCTTTCCCGAGAACACACGTACAGGGATACGTCTATTATAGCATGGGGTTCCTTCTTTTATACAATGGAGTATCTCAGTTGTATCTTGGAGGTTCCTTCTGTTACAGCAGGGGCTATTCTGTACATCTCGGTGATCGATTTTCGTATTTTTATATTAGTTTACGTAGGGACTACGTACATACTTAGTTGAGCTGATAGGGTCTATGTCCCCCAGGGTACTGCCGGAACGTACCCTGGGTACGGTCCGGTATACCGGAACGTACCCTGGTACTATATTATATGCCGGACCGTACCTAGCCTACTCCACTAACGAGTCTAGGGAGTCGCCTACGCCTACTCCCTAACCCTAACCCTAACACTAACCCTAACACTAACCCTAACCCTAACCATATCAGCTAGATAGTTACCAGGGTACGTTCCCGTATACCGGACCGTACCCAGGGTACGTTCCGGCAGTACCCTGGGGGACATAGACCCTATCAGCCTTAGTTGAGTCCACTAACTGTTTACAGGGATAACGAACTAGGACAGACTGTCAGCCCAGAGTTTAATTTCAACCATTAAAAAAATCAATGAAGAAAGGTGCCCCGAGGTAACGTGTTAAGACAAAACCCAGGTGAAATTAATGAAGCGAAGGTGAAGAATTCATCATGTTGGCTTTCCAAGTTACCTTCGCAATCACCGTCGACTGCCGTCCAGGTAGTGTTATATCGACCTGACAATTGTTGCCGATCGCGTAACAACTAGCGGAAATTAATTCTGCAGTTATTGAAAATCCCGACTGACATGACTGATTAAACATGACAATTTAATTAGCGAGTTGACGAATTTATGGCTTCAGTTATTCAAGGGTTTCCTGTGTGACATAGTTG